GGTCACTAGAATGTCTGAAATGGTAAAGGAGAGCTTTGGTTTCTGTGGTCAATTAGAAAATACGTGGCTGTTACTGTTAGAGTTGGCTGAGAAGCGTATTTCTTTCCGCCTCAGGATATTCTACTAAGAAAGAAAGAAAATGCATTTTTTCAGCAGTGTGTGTGCATGCATATGCTTTAAGAAAACCATGTATTTTTCACCTTTTAGTAAAAAAACAAAGTGGTTTATTCTTTCTTTCTTCTAGTGAAAAATGAAACCTTGGGGAGATAAGGAAATGCATTACATGCATCTGCTTTATGTAGTCCAAAGCACAGTTCTTAATTAAAAATTTAAAAAGCAAACCAGAGATGGAAAGTGTTTGATCAATGTCAGCAACCATACTGTATAACGTGTTCCTCCAGTGTCTCCAGATCCTCTATCTTGAAAAAACAAGACATGAGTGAAAGGAGAATAACCTTGGCCTCATCAAATTGAATGAAGAAACATCCACCAAGCGCAGTGAGCCATGCTCGCCACTCCACTGCCTTTGTGTTCAAACTACAAAATGACTCTGTTTAGCACTGGGTCGTGTCCTCAAGCAAATCCTATGAGTATCTCCTTATCCTCAGAGGGTGGAAGGGACTGCATCCACCCTTTCTTTTTTTTTTTTAATCATCTTAAATTCTTAGGAGAGAGGCTGTACTGCATGCCCAAGTACAGACTTTCACTTAAGGTCCCTATCTAGAAAATCTTTTATGTCTGCTTCCTCTCCTCTTCCCATACTTGCATGGATTTCCTGAGGCAGTTCGTGTTCTGACCTCTTGGATCCAGTTTTCATCAGCTGTCAAGGTAAATTTGGTTAATACTGCAAGAATAGTTTATTCAGGTTTAGACTGAAGAGGGAATAGTGATGGAGTAGCAAGTGCATTCTCCTGTCTCTCTAATCTGTCTGGTATGTCTCTAGATGCACTAACTTTTCAATAGTAATACTTTCTTGATTTTTTTTTTAAATTAATATTTTCAGGCCAGGCAAAGAAATGTTTAAAAGTTTTTAGCAAAAGCATACAGACACACTCTTGAAGATAGATAGATAGATAGATAGATAGATAGATATATAAAACTTCATTAAGTTATTTTTATATATCTATAAGTAAAAATTAAATCCACTGATACTATAAAAATACAGGCAATTATTATAGATTCTGTTTGCACATATGGGCAGCCAAAGGCAGGGATTTTATGCTTTTCACTGATGCTGAGCTTAATTGTCTCTAATATACATTTTAAATTGGTTTTCATTACATGCTATAAGCTGTCAGAAGTATTATATTGCTGTCAATATCTAACAAGTGAATGCTGATCTCAAGTTGCATGTGACGGAATGACTAAGGAGAATTATTTTATGCAAGAAATTTCTCATACAGAAACCTTTACTGGATTTTAAAACTGGGAAGGGTAATTATGATGGACTTAGCAGCAGGAGGCAAGGCAAGACATTTTTTCCAGAAATTCTTTAACCCTGGAGGTACAGCACTGACACGAGGGTGTTTTCATGTTTCACTTTACCCACCTGTACTGGACCTCTCAAGTTCTACCTTTTTCCTCAAACGTTCCTCTTCCATGTATCTGTGATCCTGGGGAGCTCCTTGCCATGGGATACCATGGACCACTTTTGGGAAGATGTCTGTGTTGGGTGGGAAGGCTGCTGGTCTAAGCATGCATATTTTCAGTTTTTCCATCACTGAGGTAGAGCATGACTTCAAGTTGCTTGTAGTGTGCATAATGAGATAATGAATTAACCACAACAGCATTACTGTGATGTAAAATAAACAAATGGGTATAAAACCAGTCACAATATGTGAATTCTGACCAAGCAAAGAAGTTAAGACAAGTAGAAGTCAGTTGTTCTGTATAGGAATCTTGCAATCAGGTGGAAAGGATGTATTAACAGAGCAAGCTGATGGTGAGACGGGTGCTGATTTACCCAGATGTACGTGGGATAATGCAAACAGGAAAATTTTAAGTGGAGTCTAAAGGTAAAGCTTTGCAATGATCTGCTCATGCCATTTCCTAGTGGTTGTTAAAGCTTCAGGCTCTGTTGATGTATGTGGAATGGAGAATTATTTGTGGGTCAGATTAAAGTTGGGTTTTGGTTTTGATTTCTTTTTTGTTTTGATTTATTTTCTCTTGGTTGAACTGGGGCATCAAAAATATTTTAGTATGTGTTGAATTGTGGACCTAAAATGAAATAACTATGTTCACATTTAAGTTTGTGATGAAGATTTTAATTTATTCAAGGATCTGGACGTTAGTGAGGTTTTTTAAATGGAAACTGATACTTCTTCATGTTAGGAAAGGCAATTTAAAGGGATAAGCCTCAAGCTTGAAGCAGAGGGTAAGAAGATTTGCGATATGGAAATTCAGTCCCTGGTCTCCAAAGAGGTCCTGCGGACATTCGTTTCCCATGTGGATGGGTTTTACTTTGGCAGGAACCTCCTCTGTTCCCCATAATTGCAGTCCAAATACGACACAAACTCACAGGTAGCTGGAGGACAGCACCCAAGAGAAAGGGGTATGGCAGATGGCAGAACAGCTCGGGGTGACTTGCTCTGTGGAAATATGCATCTCACACACTTGTATTTTCTACCATCCCACACAGCAGATCAGCAGTCCAGTGAGCTAGCAGCTTTCATCATGGTCTCCACACAGAAAGCAGGATTTAGTCCAGGAGGTATCACCTTTTGGTCTTCATCCGTTACTTGAAGGAGCTCATGGGCTTTGCTGAGGAACTGACGTTGTTGATGGTCCTGCCATTTTGTAGATGGGGAATCAGAGCTGTTGCATAGTTACTTTTTTTTTTCTTGGGTTTAAAGCAGTTAAAATTGGGCTCTTTTATACTGTCACGATGGTAAAGATTTGCTGGATTCAGGACGATTGTTTGCATTAACAAATCTCTTGACATTCAAACTAC